AATTTTACCCATTTTGATGATTTGTAACAATTCATACTTGCTTCCTCTGGTTACATGTTCAAAGTATGATGTTTAATGAAATTTTATACAGGTCATGTACTCTATGTAGATTATATTCACTCCTGAAAAACTATTTTTAACCAGTATTACATACTCACATGTTCTGTACTTGTCTAGAATGTAATACTATGTTTAGGGCCGGATTAATCCACTTTGGGGCCCTAGACATTTTCTTCTTACCGGGTTCCCTCCCCTCTCTCACAAGAAATAGAGAGCACAAAAAAATCTTTAATTTTTATTAATAAAACATATTTAATACATTGTATTTTGTGTGGATTACGTGTGATTATCTGTTTAAAAGATAATTTGAAAAGGAAATTTGAATTACAGTGTTGAGCAGAGGGGAGCGCTTGGATCGTCAAGTCTGTTGACGACTTTTTTCTCTCTGCTTCACCAAAGGCATTTTTCTTGTTAATTACCTTAAAATATTTTTTTTGTTCGCTATAATAATTAATTATAAACTGATTTTGCTACTNTTAATAAAAAATATTTAATACACAACAATAAATTTTAGTTTTTCTAGAAAAGTTTGAACAGTTTGTTTATAAATTTAAAAAATTGAAATTTATTTTATTAAATGTCTAGCAAAAGTTGTTATACAATAACAATAATACCTTAAAATATTAATTGTCAACAAGACTGTCTTGTTTATAAAATCGCACTACCTGCTGTGTTACCTGCTTAGAGATGTGAAGGAGTACATGTCAAGAGTTTCAATTTGGCACAGAGTATTAGGTGCCCAAATCATGCGGGCATAAAAAATAACCAGACTTGTAGGTACTCAGGGGTCCGAGAATCGAGTCAAAGTAAAATACAAATGGCGACTCTCTCTCTACAAACAGGCAAACCGAAGTCAGGTGGTGAGAGTTCCACTCACAGTCGTTCTAGGAAGTAACTCTGACCCTAGGACTGAACACACAGTATTTTCTTTGTTAAATAAAATCTGTAATCTAATTTTGTAAATTTGGGAGTGCTTCAAATATGACATTAAAACAGGGTTTATGTCATTACAAATAGGTTTTATAATATTAGCGAGGTTGCGGCCGAAGATTTCAGCGCGAAAACGTGAACATCGGACGTTCACATTTTTGCGTTGAAAACTTCGGCCGCAACCTCGTTATTATTTAGTATAGTAAAACTGTGGGACCGATAAAAATTTGACGTTATATTAGGGTTGTCGTTACATCCGATGACCTTATAATCGGGTTAAACTGTATATTGTTTGTGCAAAATAAAAAAAATAATAATTTCGGACGATACAATAGCCACGATTATTTTTTTCAAAAACGGGAAATTTTCGTTAGGCATCGACAAAAATTCATCCTGGGCCGACACGCAACGGAGAGAAATTTCGAAATTGGATAGGTTAATTTCATCGAAAATGCATCGTGGAAGACCTCATGGTCGTGGCCGGCGAAGTTTGAACGATCGCGCCCAAAAACAGCGATATCGAAGTAGATAGGAGAATCAGAACGAGACCTGCTTTGAGCATAAAAGTGATTCTGTCTCCAAGACATAGTCTTGTCCCAAATATGGCTTTGCAGTTTTACTTGTTTAAGTTAACCTTTTTGGTTAATATTTAAATAATATAGGCCTATTATTTTACCAGAGTTACCAGTATTATACAGTTCAACAGAAAAGTAAGCTATCTTATTTGCAAATCTTCTCAAAAAGACAGTTTGACTGGGCCCTTTTAAAAACCGGGCCCTAGACATTTGTCTCATTTGTCTATGCGATGATCCGGCCCTGACTATGTTAAAAAATAGTTTTACAGGAGTAAATATGGCCTTTGTAGGTTACATGAACATAAATTTCTCCCAGAGGCTATACAAACATCACTACAATCCAAGAACCAATTGGACAAATACTGTTCTAGCTTGTTTTGCTGGTTCGAAGGATGGTCACATCCCACAACAACAGAACTTAATCAAGATTTATAAGCAGATGTTGTGAGATATCTGTATGAATACCAAAGATTTAGAACAGTATAATCACAGTTCTTCACATTTCTGTGAATTAGCATATTTTGTATGCACTTTTTTAGAATTTTCTTTATTCCTGATCAAATCATATTTTTAATATATGACCTTATTCTAATAAAAACTATAAAATATAAATTTATAGTATAATATATGAGTATTGAGTAGTCTTTAGAATTTAAATAATGAAATCTACAGTTAAAATATCAAAACAAAATAAATATGTTTGTCTTGTTTTATTATATTATTACATGTAATGTAATGGCATATTAATTTCTCGTTAACTCAGAAAATAATGATTTATGAATTGATCTCTAAACTATATTAATGTTCCCTCTAAACTGAGAAAGCAGATGCACAAATTAAGATGACTCTTGATTAGCAAATAGGTTGCCCTGAACAAAGAAACTGTTGTTCAGATAGAGTCAAGTGTGTATGTAAGAAACAACTGTACAGCTAACTAGTAAGAGTGAACCATTGTTAAAGAGAAAGCTGATGTTTATTATGACTTAGGATTACAAAAGTTTTAATATTTGTTATCAGAATTGCAGCACTCTGAATTGCACAATGAAAAAATGAATTGCACAGTCATTATGAAATTTATTTTTTAATTTAAAATTCTTAAAAATTGCTGTGCAGTTATGTATTTATACAGCTTATAGAGAAACATGATAGAAACAACTTTTCTTTTTATTCATAATTTGTTTTAATGTCTTACATCACTTTATTGTAGAATCTTAAGTTTGATAACAAATGAACCTCTTAGCAAATACTGGAGGAAATATAATTCATCACACCAAAAAATCTTTGTAACTCCAGTGATACGTGTTTACAAAACAGTGAATGTTTTTGACCTCATCTGGGTCTTCATCAGGCTATGGTTATGAAGAATTCGAATGCATGTGAAATGGAACAAGAAACCGAAACGAATGTGATTCAAAATTTAGAAAAGCAAAGTTAAGATTAAAAATAGAACATTATGCTTGTGCTGAAATGACGGTTAAGCACGTGTAACATCATGTTTGCGAAACAGTGAATGCAGGTGAAATATACACAATTCAAAATCAGTTATGGGGGTGAGTTCCCTCATAACAAAATTTTCGTGTGTGAGATATGCTGACTGCATCCTTAGAGTTGATGCATGTGTTATGTAATCCTGCTTTATATATTTTGAGAGTTTCCATTTGAATTCCTCATAACTGTAGCCTGATGAAGACCCAGATGGGGTTGAAAACATTCACTGTTTTGTAAACACTGGAGTTACAAAGGTTTTTTGGTATGATGAATTAAGTTTGATAATTCTAATAAATAACTGTTATCTTTTTAAAATATTTCTTTAATCTTTCACTGTTAGTATTACAATTAAGAATTATTAAATTTATTGCTGTATTTATCTTGTCATGTCTTAATAATTTTATAAAACAATGATGGAAGATTTTACCTTAAACAGTTTAAATTTGTATATACATTAGTAAGTTTGCATATAATGAGTATTACATTTTGTTAATTGATTATACATAATTACTACTATACAGTAATATAGAGTAATGATTAATAATAATTAAAAATCAATTAAAATAATTATTTAATGTTAAACATTTGTATTTACTAAATCAGATTTAAATCTTTCTTATCAAATTATTTTAAAAAGTGTTGATAAAATTTTATTCTCAGAATTCATTAATGAATTTTATGCAAATATACAAGAGAATAGCTTCATTAATTTCTAAGAGATGTTTACTCATTTTATATTTAATAATAACTTTTAACTGTTAAATAACAACTAGATAAAAATTTTCCAAAGAAGCATGAAAAAGTATAATATATTAAAATATACTTTCAGTAGGAGATTTTGATCATTGTAAATCTTATAACAACTAACAAATTTATGCTATTTATACCTGATTATTAAATGTTCAATTTTAAATATATTTTTATTGAAAAATTATAATAAGCATCATAAAATAATAAATATAGTATTATTTTTAAAAATAATTTTACACTGTGTTGTTTTTCATTACTTTTGAAGATTATTGAGTTGTCTGGAAAGTTTGTAGCAATTTTTTTTTCTAGAAAAAATAAGTACAGTCAACCCCCCCCCCTATAATACTGTAGATATGTTCCAGTTTTTATGAAATCCATTTTCTACGAGTCCTTAATTTAAATACATGAACCAATCACAGCCCGGCACATATGCAATTTATGGACTACGGCTGTTTGAAAGGTTTTCTTCCATAAAATTAATCAATTCTAGACTAATTCGACTCAACATTTCCAAAATACGTATAATTTTTTGGGAATAATCCATATAAACTATGCTATGAACAAAAAATTGTAGGATTACTTACCTAGTGTGTACCATTCGACTACGGCATTGCTTAAGCTTGTTTTCGTCATGGAGATTGTCATCGAATGGCGCTCGTGTGCTTCCCAATAAATTATTTTTTTTTGCGAGAACTTTGCTGAACTTTGGAGACATCATTAATATAAATATAATTTTTATGTACGTTAAATAATAAATGGTTTTTAGTAGGTTTGCTGCTCGTTTAAACTCAACGGTTTGTGCAATATCTGCTATTGGTCTAGATTTGACCAATACTGTTGTGACATGAGTCAGCGATGACGTTTTACTGAATTATATGAGTCTCTTTTAGCGTGTTTATACGAATATGGTCGCAATTTTTTCGCCGTCATATAGGAATCCGAACAATATGAACCTGTTTTATAGGGGGGTCTACTGTATAAATTTTAAAATATTACCTTCTATTTCTTGATGCACTGTTGTTTTTTATAACCTCTCTCCATCTATTTGGCAGTTTCATAATTCTTATTTTGTAGAATATGAAAAATTTAAATTTATATATTTTTTTCTATTCATCAGATTTGATTCTGTTATATTTCTTGTTTTTCTGATAAATTTTTTTATGTAGAATATATATTTATTTATTTCTTATTTTTCAGATCAGATGTTGAAAATATTCAGAAAATAGTAAGTTAAACAAATATTTATATTTCTTTTTTTCTTATGTAAATATTTATAATAAAATTTTGGCTTAAATAATTTTAAATAATAATTATTAAAAATATCATTCTCCTTTGTGTTACAGATCAGGAATGTCCTTGATGTCATTTTTTACACTGCTTATATAATAATTATTAATTTAAGAAAATAAATTAATATTTTTATGAATTGTTGCAAGGAATCAGTGTTATATTTAACCTTCATCTCCCTACATTTAGATGATTATGTATAGAACTAAACTAAAATTAGTCTATCGCATAGTAGTCTGTTTTTAATTTTAGGAGATATAAATAGCAATTAAAATTTAACATCTGTTCTTAAAATGTTTTATCTCATACATTATGATTCTATATATTATATCTAAGATGAAGATGAATGTAGATATTTCTGTTTCATATTTATTTGTATTGATAGTCAAGCTTTTTCTTTTCAAATTTCATCAGTAATACACCTCCAAACCCTGTAATTGAATAGCAGAACAGTGTATACTTATTAGGTTTTAAGGTGTGTTGTATTTAATCAGTAAACTATCAGATTATCTTGTATATATTTTGGAAAATTAATAATTACTGATAATAAGTAAATTGGTCTAAAAGTTGGCAGTTAGGCTATCTTATACTAATATTAATAATTAAATACTTTAGAATTAAATTTTTTATAATTTAGAATATTCTAGCTATTGTTTGGGCTTGGTTGTTTATACTGTATATATAAATGAATTTTGATGTCCAGTATTTCAAATATTTTAGCCAAGATACTTTCTTTGTCTAAATTTTGCTTTAATTTATCAGAATAAGATGAAGTAATTTAAAAGTTAAGTTTTATAGCATTATTCTTTTTAAAGAATGGATATTGTTATTTGGTAATTATTACAATATTAAATTATTATTTTGCTCATCTCTAGAATTTTTCTTAATGAAAGACACTTTCTAAAGATTAATCCACTCTACTATGAGCAATGCTTTATCGTGTATTTATCTGCCAGAAATTTCTTTTATAAAGTATTATCATGTTTAGAAAATACTGTTAAATAAATTTCTTCTATCTGCTATTTCTTTATTTGTTATGTTTAATTGTAATTTAATTATTGTTAATAATTATAGTTGTAAATACTGTATAATAATTGTAATATTAATATTAAATAATTGTAAATATAATGTATTAAGTAATCTGTCAATTTATACTATAGAAATTATCAAACATCAATTCTTTTTAATTTTATAGTTGGTAATAGGACTTGTCAAAACATAGATAACAGTTTATTATGAGTGATATTTGAATTTGGATTTGTTATCAAAGTATTATCTTACTATGAATTGTACAGTTGATTTCGGTATTACTCATTATGTCCAGATCTGATCTGTTAAAAATCACACCTTTATCAATCCAGCAAACTATTTTTAATAATTGATAAAGGTGTGATTTTTAACTTATTCACTATCCGGTATATAGTTTATTTTATGATCTGATCTGTTCAAGTCTGTATGATTAATGGATGGGACTAACTGTTTTTTTAAATAGTCATGAAAAATCCTAAAGATTCTATCTGAATTCAAATCATTTTTGCCAGTAAGAAAATCCTTTCTATGCAAACCGTCTGATATATGCAAACCTATATCAGATCATATAATCACTTTATCAAAGTCAAAATCAGTTTACAATATATGATTATAATCAAGACTTTTAATTTGTATATGAATTCATTGACAAATAAGTTACACTCAGACAAGAATGTAAATGATTACAGTTGTGGTTTGATTGCATGTCAGATAATGCCACCAGATTACTTTAAAATTGAAGAGCCCAGTGCAAAAACCAATTAACTCCAGAATTATCAATTTTCAGTTTTTTATATCAAGTAGCAGTATTAAGATAGCTGCATCTAAAATCACTACTCTCAGCAATTTCATGGTTTAAAGTGGACTGGAGAAAATCTTATGATGCAGATACCAGTTAACCTGCAGAATTGGTTGGTATTTTGCATCATCATTACATAACTGTGTATGGTGGTGCAGAAAACAAGATGGAGTTGCATGATGAGGATTGTAGTGTATCTGATTCAGATTTTAAGCCAAGTTCTAGTGACTTTGAGAATAAACTGAAAAGGGTAAAAAGTCTTTGAATAATTCCAAGAAAAAATCTGAGCAGAGGATAACCATGAAACAAAATCATGGCAAAGGAGTATGATCAAGGAATGCCATGTTGCAACTAAACCATACATGAACTGTGTTGGAGTAGAAAGGCTGTTGCCAGCAAGAGTATTGGAGAGACATGTAAATGTTGCAGAAAATGCCTTGTGTGCCAGAGTGTAATCTCCATATGATATTCAATGTTTTCTACAAATTTGGGACTAAAGATCTTCAAGATAGCTGTCTGGCAGGACTAATCATTGTGAAAATCATCTAAAAAATTTAATATGATGGCTGATAGCTCACATTACTGCAGAAAGGCATCTTTTGGTTACAAAATGAGACTGCTTTCCACTTACTGAGCTTGTAGAGTATTCTCTTATGTTGTAACTTCAAATAGTTCTTATTGTGTATCATGAAGTCTATATTTTTTGTCTGTTTTCCTATATTATTTTAAGTTTGAGCAAATGAACAGGAAATTTATGTTTGCCAGAAGATGTTTTTGTCTATGCATTGCATAACTAACAGATTACTACAGATCATAACTTTGGCAGAATCAATTATTCCTCTATAAGACCAGTATGGCAAACATCATAATCTCTGAGCAGCACCATCCAAGCATCATTATTGTCCACACCTGATTATGTTATAGAGATACCTTCATTAGCAGTATTCTGACAAGGATTTCCCATTACTAAACACAAAAAGAGAAAACAAGACATAACTTATAAAGTGAAATCTTTACCCCTCTCTGTTTCTGCAGAGACACTCTTACCTACCTCAGATTGTTTCTGCAGAGGTACCAGAGCTTTCTTCAATAATGAGGAATGAAACATTGTTAATCACTTGTGATAGGGTAACAACACAGGTCATAAGAAACCATTGATAGCATAAGACTTTTTCAAGAAACATTTTTAGACTAACTACATTGGCTTTTCCAAACCAAGCCAATGTAGCAAATTTTTGTGATGAATTGCATGTGAAAATCAAACCAGAAACTGATGAAAATGTATGCAAGGTTTTAGAAGTCCAGAAAAGTTGCATCTCAGAAAAGCTCAGATGTTTTATGGCAAACTGAAAAAAGATATGAAATTCAGTCAGAATGATGAAACTTTTGAAACTTTCTGCTTTAACTTTTAATAATATGTCACTTTCTAAGGTTCCTGCAGGTGAAACATTTTATGCTAGACAGCTATAGATATTCAACTTTTGTGTCCATTCTTACTTTGATGGCCACAGTACTATGTATATATGGTATGAAGGTGAAGGAAAGTATGATTTAATGAAGTGTTGTCATGTTTGGAATCACTTTATTTGCATGAAACTTTGACCTACCACAAAAGCTTTGTTCTCTGAAGCATGTCGTGGTCAGAATATAAACAAACAGTTATTATCTTTACATTTTGACTAAACACAAGAAACTGAAAGTCATGCACTTTTTCCTTATCAAAGGTCACAGCTTCCTTCCTTGCAACAGGGATTTTAGTTGCATATCCAAATACCCCAAGAAAGAAAATACAATTTATTCAATTAAACAGTATTTTGACCTTGTGAAAAATGCTAGGATTGCCAATTCATTTGAGGTTGTTTAAGTAGAGCACGAATACTAATAAAAGATTTTAAAAAACATTTTAAGCTGTTATTTAAGGCATCTGATAAATTAACAAAAAGAAACTTGATACTTGATGATTTATCAGCAAGAAAAGTTGCTTAACAATAAGATCAAATTCATTGAGATTTCTTATGCTTATCTACAAGAGGTATTCATAAGTGAAACATCATAGTCACATTATAATGAAGTTCCCTATTCAGAAGCATTCTGTGTCACTATCTATGCCACAAGAATCTGCATATAATGTCATTTTGAGTATCAAAGATGCAAAAAAAAAAAAAATGTATAAGGATTGTTGGGAAGACTGTTTCAAAAAAGCTTCTTGCCTTATATGAGAAAGTTTGAAATGTTGCCATTCGAGAAGAAACACAACAGAGTAGCACAGACTCAGAAGCCTGTAACAATTATAGCAAGTAATATAATGGCAAAGGAGCTGTAATAATGTTGCAATTCTATAAGTAGTGGCATGTGTTTTTATACAGAACTGTATCCATATTTTGACAATATTGAATGAATAAGACTAAAAAATCAGCAATGTGTTAACCTTAAAATTAATCTATGTAGATCTGTGTCTGTACATTACTTGATATTAAGAAATGCTATTTATAACTTTTTAACACTCATGTTATTAATTATGTAATTGTTGGGAATTGTTTTTGATGAAAAACTTATATGTAAACACCATGTTGACAATTAGTCAAAAATTTAGTTATTAGAAGTGAGATCTTATGAATCATTGTTGCTTGGTTTCCTCATGTCATATCCTGAGATTTATTTTTGTTTTTTGGAAAATTTTCAATTTCTATGAATTACTATCTATCCATTTGGTTGATGATTAATCCATTTGATCAAGAAGAGTTCAGTTTGGTTCTTAATGATGGGAATTATTGCCACAATCATATATAGTAAATAAGTGATAAATAAAATAATTGCCATTAATGTAGTTGTTGATTAGGCTGCAATTTGAAAACATTGTAGACATATAAATTCCCACTGTCTTCTATCTGTCCTTTCTTAATCTTGAGAATGGAGTTATATAGATGAAAGCCAAGACTAGATTTGGAAAGATTAGGGGCAGGCGGCCCCAATTAACTATATATGAACTTCCAATGCAAACCAAAAGTCACATTATTTCAATTAAAAAATTTTTCCCTGAAAGGAGTTAGATAGATTGACAGGCATGACTCTATTTGACTTTCTGAAAAGTATGATATACAGGGGTAAGA